AAGACCATTTTCCCTAGAACCCTGCAAAGTTACACTGAGGCCATGAGTCTGTCTACTGACTAGTTAAATGTGGGTAAAGTTAAGATAAGCTTCTTCCAGGCTTGAAAATGTTCTGTGAAATCTTCCAGCCTATTTGTAACACCTTCCAGATGGCATGCTGGCAAGCATAGATTCTGGACGTTACAGCCTCAGACAGAAGGGCTCAGTCCCCTGAGTCACACTCTGGAGGAAGCTGCCCCGGGAAATCCATCCATGTCTCATTAGATTCTGTACAATGCCTGGGATTTGAGAATTGCAACACTGTCTCTCGTTGATGACCTAGACTAATGAGAGTCCAATGGTTTAAATATCCCTGTGAATTCCTTTGTGACCAGCCATTCTGTGCTATACCCAGTGGCCTAGAATCCTACTTATCTCCTCTCCATGGTCAAAGACAGCATTCATTTTTGAATCTAAGACAAAAAGAATCCTTTTTCCATTTTTTGTGAAGGGCGATGTACCTGTTGTAAGAAACCTACAATCCATCAAGGTTATTGAATAACAGGATCATAACACATATGCTAAAGAGTATTTAAAAATAAAATGTGGAGAACTTATTAGCTCCAAGGAACATAGCTGAGCCTCGCAGCACCAAGGTGTGTTAGTGGCAGCAAATCCATACGGCTCCGCAGCAACCTCAATTCTTGCAGAATAAAGAAAGACTCCGCCCAGGGGGCATAAGGCAGAGTGAGAGACAGAGGCAAGCTTTAGAGCAGGAATGGAAGTTTATTAAAAAGCTTTAGAGCAGGGATGAAAAGAAGTAAAGCACACTTGGAAGAGGGTCAAGTGGGCGACTTGCAAAATCCAGTGCACCCTTTGACCTTTGGCTTGGGACTTTTTGCGTTGACATGCTTCTGGGGTCTCTGTCTCTTTCCCCTGATTCTTCTCTTGGGACTAGAATGCTTTAGTCTGCTGCATGAGGGTTAACAGGCCTGTGATGCTGTTGGTTACCGCAGGAAGCCAGTCAGACATAAGCAGGGGAAAGGAGGGGCCACCACCCACAGAAATGTCAGGCGCCCACCAGGTGATGGTTGGGCAGTTCCACTGTCCCTCTAAGCGCTGTCCCATGCGCAGAGGCTTGCTAGCACTTGAGAGGGGCCGCCTGCGCAGTGTCTTTTCGGACGGTGTGCACATGATCACTTTAGGCATTTTTCCCTTACCGGTGTCCCTAGGGGAAGGTCATAGACCAGTTAAATGTCATCATTTTGCCTCCTCGTGCACATGCTCAAGCTCACTCATCCAGCTCCTGAGATCTCACCGGGAAGCTGCTGATCATGGTTCCGTGTTTTTCATCTATTGGAAGATTGCCTTTCCCTGGAGCAGCTGTGACCAATTATTATTTTGGAGAGACAGGTGTAGCAACGGCCTGGGCATCACCTGACAGTCTCCTGACATTCCTGGGGGTGGCGGTGCCCCCAGCCCCGCCCATGTCTGACTAGTTACCTCCTCTAACAAATAGACTAAGGCTTTCTAGTCCCAAGAAGACAAAAAAGTAGTTTCCTCGTCATAGTTAGGTAATGGAATTTAGGCTTCCTGAGGTTTCAACACCAAATACAAATTGAAACTGAATTAAAAACCTATTTGCAGCCATGTCAAAGGGAGAGAGAGCAAGGCTACTCAGGATTGCTTTAATTCTTTTTTTAAAAAATTTATTTTATTGCATTTTAGGTTTTGGGGTACATGTGAAGAACATGCAAGATTGTTGCATAGGTACACACATAGCAGTGTGATTTGCTGCCTTCCTCCCCATCACCTATAGCTGGCATTTCTCCCCGTGCTATCTTTAATTCTTGAGGGTCTTCAGATCGTTTGCTTTCCTTTCCCTGGAAAATCCTCATAACTTCTTCTGGGAGAATGACATATCTTTAAAGCCAATCAAGAAACAAACAAGCAAAACAACAAATAACCTGATAATCAATGAAACTATCAAGTCATATGAGACAAAATAATTCCATCCACCAACCTAAATGTACCACTGGTCTGACACAGAAAAATAGAACAATTGAAGGGGCTTTTGCAACACTGAAAATTTCACATTTCAATGGCATTATTATTCAAAGTAAAAATAATACTCCTGTGGGATTTCAGGAGTAATTTCCACAGCCATTCATGCCTCTGATGTCAAATTTTCAATGCATATTGAAAGGTACATATAGCTCACATTCCTTCAGGCTAGAAATTATGAATTCAGAAAGAGAGTGACGTAAGACTAATCACCCTGTACTAATTACAATGGAAAAATATGTTTCTTGGTGAAACTATTTCAACTCACCCAAGATCACACTGCCAGCAAATGACAGGGACAAGATTTAATCCCTAACCTTCTAATACCAAGCAATCTTTACTTATAACCAATGCACAAAACAATAATATACGAACACTCTAATACATTAATAGAATAAGACACTAATAATATCATACGATACAATCGTACACTACAATAAAGCAGGCGTCACGGCTTATTTTGTACCCACTTTCTCTTTACCTGCTCCTTATTGCTGAAACTTTTTTTTAAAGATAAACAGGTCTCATATATTGGAGAAGCCATACACTTTCCAGAGTCATATTCTAGTTCTCTTTACCTCTATAAACCTGCTCACGCTCCCCCCAAAACTTACACCAACTCACACGTAACCACACATACACACTCATACATACTTACTCATTTCTGCTCTCATCAATTTTAATTTTCTTCCCAACACTTTAAGTGAATAGCAGGTGGAGCTTTTAATTGGAAACTAGTAGAAAAAAAATGCAGGAGAGTTAACAGGACTGTTATTGATAACAGGTAGTGCTGTTATTGATTATTAGAATTAATGCTGGAGGAAAGAGAGGCTTGGGGAAGTTCCATTTGCAGTAAGTGGTGTGGTACAAGAAGCCATGGAGTAGCTGTGTGAGGACCCTAGTGCAAGCCCACCTGCTAACGTCACTAGAGTTAGTGCCCGCCTATATACCTGGGTATTTGCTCTTCCCCTGCCTGCCAAGCACTCCTCCAAAGCTTGTGAATCTCACTGTTTCTTTTCATTCAGTTTCCACCCAAATGTACCATCCTCAGAGAGACTTTCCCTGATGCCTCTCCCTTGGGCAGAGGCACCATGCACACACCACACCAACTGTTTCAATTGCGTTTTTATTTGTGTCCTAACATTTCACTCAGTTAAATTACCTTATATCATTCATGTGTGTGCCTACTGTCTGCCTTCTCTACTAGAATAGGAACTCCTGCTGATTAGGAATTGTGTTCAATTCTATTTCTTACTGTATTCCTATTAGCTTCAACAGTCCCTGGCAAACAGGAGGCACTCAAGTAATATTTGAAATAAAAAAAGGAACCCACTTGTTTTACAGATTATTACACCAAGGTCTGGAAATGTCAAATAATTTGTCCAAGTCCGCTTGGCTACCTGGTGTCAGAGCTGGGACTCAACCCCTGACACTGCTGGTGTGTTTAACCTCTGAGCTAAACCCTGACTTTAGTCTCTCCAGTGGGAGCGACTCCTGACATTTGAGGTTCTTGATGCTGGGTTTAACCCAACTTGGATGATTTGGAGACATACAGGGTGGCAAACATAATATGCTTCTCACAGCCAGGTTCGGAAACCCATTCACATTTTGGCTATATATATGTATGTGTACATATATATGTGTCAAGTATATGTGTATATATATATATATATATATATATATATATATATAGCACAAATATGTGATGTCCAGAAGAGTGTTTCCAGCCTGGACAACATGGTGAAACTTCATCTCTATAAAAAAATACAAAAGCTAGCCTGGTATGATGGTGTGTGCCTCTTCATCTCTACAAAAAAATACAAAAGCTAGCCTGGTATGATGTGGTCCCAGCTACTTGGGAGGCTGAGGTAGGGGGATTCTCTGAGCCTTGGAGGTTGAGGCTGTGGTAAGCCATAATTGCACCACTGCACTCTAGCTGGACAAAAGAGTAAAACTCTGTCTAAAAAAAGAAAAATGAGATAATACTTTTTTTTGGTCAATGACATTAGTAAATTAGGAAATAATTTCACACCAAAGGGCATTACCTAGGATTGTCAGTAAACAATATCAAATTTCCATAAATGAGATACTGCATTATAGAAATATCATCACTCTTTTCCATAACAAAATCACTATAATTAAGCCAGAGCCTCTCTGTGCTATTTAGCAAAATAAATAATTACCCCATGCCCTTGAGGCTGATTATTAATTTGGGAATTGGGTTAATATTCTTACAGTCTTGTCTGGAAATCAACTCCAAAACTCACGCTCAGGGCAACTGAGTAACTAAAAGCAATTACAGTGCAACACCTGTGCAAAGTGCAAAGCTGCAAAGCTGCCTGGTGCACCCCAGGCCACACAAGAGACGCGGATGTATGCTGAGGTTGTACTGAATCATGAAAACCAGAAAGTCACCACTTCGACAGTCACTGAGCACCTGCTCAGGGCCAGGCCCTGCGGTAGATGTGTGTACACCAGGGCGACGCCGCCCTGACCCTAAGGAGCCCACATGCCCATGGAAGGACCTTTGCAAAAAAGCATAGACTTCCCTTGGGGCAGTGACAAGCCACAGTCTGTATCAGAGAGGATCTAGAGCAGTTTCAACCTATGAAACATTTAAACCAGTTATGGGCACACCCAGAGAGAGCCTGGCTACTTCCTGCCCATCTCCCAATCCAAAATCTCAAGAGGGAGGTGGCCTGTTCCAAGAAGACATTTGGCATTCTAGAGCGAGTCAAAGAAAAGCCCACGGGGTTCGGTCATCCATTGTGTCACAGCAGCCCAATGCTCAGTGATGTCCTGCTCCAAGCGGATGTGACCCCTGGCTGGGAAGGATTTTAGTTGCTATCAGGTTAATATTATTTACCATTAGCTTTGGGGCAACCTTTTAAATGGATGGATATGAGCAGAGCCTTTCCTAGAACAAGGATAAAAGGAATAAATTGCCTTTCACTCACCATCTGTGTAATTCTATTCCTCCCAGCAACGAGAAGCTTGAGGCAGGTCATGACTGCAGAGCTTCCTGTCAAACCGGGGATTGCTGAGATCCCAAGGGCTCTGCCATGAGTCACTGAATATTCCTTCTGTTAATCTCTCTCCACATGTGCAGTCATGGAGTCTCACAGACAGTCAGTCCAGGCAATCACAATCCTAAATAGAAACTATACAACAGAAATAAAATTGATTTTATAAATGAAAAATGTAAGACGTTCTCAGCACAAAGAGGAGGAAATCTATAAACAAAGAATGGCATGCTCAGGGAGAAGAAATGCACACCACACTGCGAGCACACCCCTACTGCCATCCATTTCAACTGAGGCAGTAAAAGGTTGTAGCAATTCAGGCCACGACATGAATTCCTACCCAGTCTCAACGGATGGTCGGCTAATGGAGGACTGCAAACATTGTACTTTTAAAATATCCTGACACTAATAAAAACCCATTTGCTTCACAAGTAGGATTTGAGTAAAGTAGTCAGGGTCCGGAGAGGATTAGAAGTATCAAGTAGAAGCTTCATTTAGCTCAGAAGTAGTTCAATTGCTTTTTAGTGCACTTAATATTTGGAAGATAAATTCTTACCCTGTAACCGTCAAGGCAGTTGGAAGTTTCAATGAGCCTGAGAACAAGCTAGCTTTCTAGGTTTTTGGGTCCCAACCTCCATCCCTAAACTTAGCTATTCAACTCATTAGCATGGACCTTTAGGTCTCAGGCATGAGGCTTTGTGCATGACTCAACTGGGAAAAAACAAAAACAAAAGCAAAAACCGACATGATCGTACAGCACTGCTACGGACTGCATACTTCTGTCCTCCCTCCCTCAATGTATATGTTGAAGCCTTCAACCCCAATGTGCCTCTATTTGGAGAAAGGGCCTGGGAGGAGGTTATAAAGATGAAATGAGGTGATAAGGATGTGGTGCTAATCCAAAGAGACCGATGCTCTTATATGAAGACAAAGAGACATCAGAATCCTCTCTGTCTGAGCTTGCACCAAGGAAAGGCCACGTGAGGACACAGTAAGAAGGTGACCACCTAAAGCCAAGAAAAGACGCTTTAGAAGAAAACTCATCTTGACAGCATCTTGATCTTGGACTTTCCCGTCTCTAGAGCTGTGAAAAAGAAATTCCTGTTATTTAGGCCACCCAGTCTGTGGTATTTTGCTATGGTAATCTGACCAAACTAATATAAGTAAATAAACGGAAGTGTATGAGCAGTGGATCAATCAAGTTTTATTCCAAGGAAAAGACACCATCCTTAGGTATTTCTACAGAAAAGTATTGATAAGTCTCTATCACACAGGTAGACATGCCACATCCAGTCAGAGTTTACTGGTCACATATAGAGAGCATTCAACTACCCATCTCACCCACTCTTCTCCTGGGTGATGGCCACTTATTGTTCAGATATCCTCAGATAACCTCTTCAAAAAAGCCATTTTTAGCCCCCTGTTCACCATCCTACCTCCCTGTTTACTGCTCTTAAAATTTCCTGTATTTCCCTTCAAAATACCTCTGAAACGCATAATTAATTATTTAGGTAATCCTTTCATTATAGTTCCATCACCAAATATGTCCATGAGGAGGATAAGAACAGCACCTGGCTTTTTCACCACAGAGCCCCACAGCACAGCACAGGGCCTTGTAAGGAACTACTTAGGGAAATGTAGATATATACACATAACACATACATACGCACAAACACACAACCCCACATAAATAGTCTAAATAAAACTTAAGAGATTAGAAAAATCTAAAGGGTGGAATTTTTAAATTTAGGTTAATTTTAGCCAATTTAGCATTATTTTTCCTTTCTTCTTATAGTGGCATGTTAACTTTTGCATTGGGAACTTATTCATTCTACACTTTGGTCCCTGTGGTTCAGATGGAGCTGACATGATCTGCAATTCCAGGGGGTGTCATGTGAACCAGCCAGGCCAATCAACATATTCCATTCTGCTGGTCCTAGTGATTGGTTCAGGGGTGGGCACATGACTAAGCCTGGGCCAATGAGATTTAAGCTGAGGCTTTCCTGAAATCATTGGGAAAGAGAAGTTTCCTTTTCTTTGAAGATTGCAGAACGGATAAGACAAAAGCCTAGAGGTGCTGACAGTCATCTTGCTACCCCCATGGAAACTAATGAAGCCAACACAAAACTCAAAGACAGAGGAGCAGATTCCTGATGAGATTATTATAGCACCTAGATCCAGCTATGCCTGAGGTTAAAGGCACCCTTGAATTTGTTTTGTGAGTTATTTTTTTCCTTTATGGATTAATTCCTTTGAATTGGATTTCTGTTTCCTAAACAAAAGTACACAGTAAAACACCAGTGAAGAGAACATGAGACCAGTGTATTTTCAATCAAGCCACCTTGTGCACATAATAAGGACAAAATGAATTTAGAATTGAATGGAAGAGGACTTTTCAGAAGAGGCGGGAACTGGGCTGGAGTTGAAGGGTGGGTAGAATTTGTATCAGCAGACAGAAGAGCAGGACATATGAGGGGCAAGAGGAAAAGCACAGCGAAGTCAAGGACCAAGGCAGGGAGCAGCTTTCCTGACTCAAGGTGAGGAGAGCAATGGAATGCAAAGGAAGAAGGCGAGGTGGGCCTGGCAGTGCCGGGAGGAAAAGCCCTGGACATAAGGACTGGGATGAGATTTGAGGTTCATGAGAGAAGAAAACAAAAGAGTCAAAAGTACCTTTGGCAGATGATGGAAGAGGGCTGCTTACAACCAGTTCTAGGATGAAGTTTGCAAACAGGAATGAAGATGTGCTTTCTGTTGCCCTGCATGGTGTTTCTAAAGTGTCAACATTTAAAAATCGAGAGATCCTGCCTCAAACCTAGAAGTCTGACTTCTCTTGAAGCAATCAACAGAAGATGGTGTGGTCCTGGCCCCACATCCCTCTGCAGCAATCATCAGTGGAAGCTGAGGGCATCTCCCAGTTAGATGGGTATGGGTGTCCCAGGCTGGCACCAGCCCTCCAGTCTCATTACCTGTGATCAGCCTGGCCACAGTGAGCATGTGTGGGTCTGACCCTGACTGAGAGGAACTCCTATTCCCATCAGACTCACGGGCTCCAAATGCATCTCCCTGAATCCAGGGAGGACTCACAGCCCCGATTGAAGACAGTCCACAAGCCTCCCAGCTCTGGCTCTCCTGGGTACTGCCAGAGACTTCCTTGCTGAGTATTCCAGTCTGTCTTTGATATTATTTCTCACTAAGGTCACCTTCCTAAAAATCTTTATTATTCAAATGCATCAGAAAGCTCTTTGCAATAAACTGTCTTATGACTCAGATTATTCTGCTGGGGCAATGACCAACACCTCTTCTCTCTCTCTCTCTCTCTCTTTTATTTATTTTTTTTTGCTTTAATTAATGAAAATTATAGGATGTGTGAATAAATTCATTTTATGAAGACAGAATTAAAGAAAGAAGCAGAATTTCTAAAAGCCTTAAAAAACTTTCAGGAACCAAAAACTTTTATGTTGAAGGATCTTTAGAAAATAAAGAATTAAAAGATACAGAAAATGGCTAAGACTAGATTTGGTGAGAGTAAATTTCCAGCTCCTTCCTCATTAATGCCATGAGAGTGACCAGCCTGTAGCTGGTTCTCAGAATAAGTGGTTTCCCTTCAAACCAATGACACACACTGCTGATGCTGGTCCCAGTGGCTAGAATTGGCTCAGTTTTCTTTCCTCCTTTGACTCTGTGCTGTGGGCTAAGAACAGGATGGCCACAGATGCTCAAATGGCTAAGCAGTGCTGTTCAAGGATGAAATGCATTGAACTGCAGGAGAGATGATGTATTTGGCTTAATAATAATAAAATCTGCTTTCAGTAGCTTTAGAAAAATGTGCCCTGGTTAGCAAGACGTCAGGCAAGCAGATAGGATAACTGTGAGAGGCTGCAGTTCACACTCCCAGGGCACCAAAGTGACTTGGGCAGGGACGTCCTGGTGGTTTCCCATGTGAAGAAGAGGGTTTCTCTATCTAAGGTGAGGCGGACTTCCAGCTGCTCTCCTTGTGTTGAGACCACATAGACACAGCCATGTGGAAAGTAGCAATTACACAGAGCCTGACGAGGGCTCCCTGGATCCAGCCAGGCACGGGAGGGACTTGTTCAGAAAGGAGGTGGGCATTTGCCCATCTACAAAGCCCCTCATCTGTGCTCATAGGTGTGATCACAACATGAAAAGAAAACAAAGAACAAAGACCACCAGCTCTAGGGATGATGAGTCTCCATGTTCCATTGTGGTGGCTTTTTTAAACTCTCTTAGGTTTCTAACAATTGCACAAGTGAGTTTTGTGGTTTTCCCCAGGTCCTACTTCCAGAAGTAGAAGAGGAAATGAAATCCACAGAAATCAATCTGAATACATGGGTGATCTCCTAGCAATGCCCATATACCTCTGCGGCAGAAAAGACAGCATAAAAGGCTCACTGCCTTATACCAGGGAACTAACCGTCCAGCTGAGGAAGCGTGGTACCTGAATGGGCAATGAACACTGCTTCAAGACAGCACAGAAGTGGAGGCCACAGTACCTGGCCAGCATTAGAGCTGAAGGATTTCAAAGAAATGAGAGGTTTCTATGGGCAGAGCAGAGCTTCAAGAGGAGAAGCAGGCTTAGAACTCATGCAACCCTACACACACACGCACACACACACACACACACACACGCACGCGCGCGCATGAGCACGCGCACGGGCACTCAATCCATATTTGTGCTGCAACCTCGTCATGCATCCTGCCATAGCTCTGTTTAGCCCCCACTCCACCTCACACCATCCATGGAGTAGGGTTTGTTTTCCATTAGGAAGACACTTGGGTCATCTCATTCCCACCTGTCTGTCAAGCCCAGCTCCTGGTGCTCCCATCACACTCACCTAGACATGCACACCTGTGTGCCTTTGCATCATGCTCACCTGGATGTGTACACCTGTGGGCCTTTGCATCATGCTCACCTGGAGGTGCACACCTGTGTGCATTTTGCATCATGCTCATCTAGACATGCACACCTGTGGGCCTTTGCATCATGTTCACCTGGACGTGCACACCAGTGTACATCTGTATCATTCTCACATGGACA